TGGGGCACTGTGCCGAGCCCTGGTTACCAGGGTCGGGAGAAGGAAGGGGGCCGTGCAGGGAGCCCACTAGAAAGTGCTGTTTCTGCCCCAGAGATGACTGAGGTTTAGTTTGACCCCAGCCCACCATCAGGCTTTTGGTGACACAGGGTTGGGGAAGTTGCTGATAACATCCTACATACCTCACCCAGTGACTCAGTGGGGTCCTGGGCCAGTGTGGGCATTGGGCCCCTCTCCCTGGCCTCCAGCCCAGACCCCCATAGCCAGGTCTCTGCTGTTGGCAGGTGGGGTCTGAAAGTGCCCAAGGGGCACAGTCACTGCTGACGGAGCTGGTGCTGCGGCGGATCTCGGCCTCGCCCCAGCACCTGACGGCCTTCGAGGAAGCCATACCCAAGTCCTACATGATCAGCGCAGACATGGCCCATGCCGTGCACCCCAACTACCTGTGAGTGTACCATGCCGGGCATGCAGTCTTCACACAGCTGGAGAGCCCTGGCTTCTTCCCCCTTCCCCTTATTCAACTGGGAGGTTCAGTGGGAACTTCCTCTTGACTGCTCCAAGGCTGAGCTTGGCCAAAGTCACATAATGCCTGAGCTCTGTCTACGAACTTATTTCCATCTGTCGCTAGAAGCTGCCTAGAACACCGCTTGGCATGACTCAGGTGCTGCCGGGCTGGTGGGAAAGCATGCTGTGATCCATTAGTGATGTCTGCTGTGGAAGAGGTGGGTGTTGACAGGCCCGGCTCCTGTTTGCCATCTCTTGCCCTTAAACTGTCTCTTACAGGGATAAACATGAGGAGAACCACCGGCCCTTATTCCACAAGGTGAGGTGCCCCTGTTTCTTTCTCAGAACTTGTCAGCTTGGCTGGTTCTGGTTCTCATGGCTGCCTCACTGTTGATTCCTGGTTTCCCTCTCCCAGGGCCCCGTGATCAAGGTGAACAACAAGCAGCGCTATGCCTCGAATGCCGTTTCAGAGGCCCTGATCCGCAGGGTGGCCAACAATGTTGGGGTGCCCCTCCAGGTGAGAGCTGGCACTGCCTCGGAAGGGAGCAGAGGGGCACAAGCAGATGGGCTCCCAGTGAGTGGGGACCATGGTAGACAGTATTTAGTGGAGAGGGTCCCAGTAGAGTGAGGAGAACAGGGGTTTGGGATGTAGGCAGAGCTGGAATCCCTGCTGATTCTGCCGTGGTACTAGCCCTGTGACCGTGGACTAGTCTTCTAATTTCTTGGAGCCTCAGTTTCTACACCTGTAAAATGGGGCTGATGGCGATGCCTCTTCTGCTGGATTTCTCTGAGGATTAAAGGTACAGTGTGCTTATGGCACATGGTGAGTTAGTCCTGCCCTTTTCTCATCCAGCACTCCCACCTCCCCTGTGTCTCTCTTACACACCCTGGGGGCTTCCCTAAGGGAACTTCAGGGCTGAGGGGCTTGGAACTCTTAACTGTTCGTTTTCACTCTTCCCTTGGCAATGGCCCATCTAGTCATAGGTGTAGGTGTAGACACAGACATACTTCGGAGATATTGTGGGTTCGGTTCTAGACTTCCACAATAAAGTGAATGTCACAGTAAAGCCATTCACATGAAGTTTTTGGTTTCCCAGTGCACATAAAAGCTATGTTTACAC